GAAATGCAAGCAGATGTAATATTAAAAGAGCCTCCCTCATGAGTGCCCCCTCTCAGCCTCTCAGGGGGGGGACGCGTAGAGGGGGGCGGGGGGGGGCGCGGCCCCCCCTCATACGCCCCTGGATGGGAGTGCATGAGTGCAAGGCTAGATAGCCTTTCTGTTTTCATGGTGTTCCGTAGCCATGTTAGCAACCTAATTATCAATATACTTAAGTTCCGTTTATATTTTTTTGTTTAAATTTCAAACAGTTTTCAAAGCTTATAACTGTTTAGGCATCTGCAAAATGCCGCAAAAACTTTTACTATCATGAAAATAGAAGTATTTACACTTGAGTGCAGACTAAGCAATAGGGAATGTATTTTTTTTTTGAAGTGAAGGGGTCAAGGCAACTGTAACTTGAAGAGGCAGCAAGTGGAGTAACCCCTGCTATTCAGGGCCTGAATATATGTTCAGGGGTAATTACCTGGGGGTATTTACCCCCAGGATTCTAGGGGGGGGGTATTTACCCCCAGGATTCTAGGGGGGGTATTTACCCCCAGGATTCTAGGGGGGGGGGTAAATAACCCCAATAACTCCCCATATATCCGCCACTGTTTATAAGAGCTTTAGATAAAATAGAACTGACATTTCTTTGAAACTGTTTATGTCATATTGTTCTGGAAAAGAATCGTCACAACTGTAGTATTTTTGTTGTTTTGTCTCCTTTGTTGTAATCTTTTTTTGTTTTTCCGATCATAACTCAGGAACCCCTGGGCCGATTTTCCCAAAATTTTGACAAGGGAACGGGAGGCCCAGAAAAAAGTTCTTAGCTCGGTTTTAATATCATAAGTTGATTGGGTCGACCTAAAAAAGCATAAATCTGGTTTAAAATCGTTCAAGTGCAGGTAAACGGCCAAAGTAACTTTTTGTAACCTTGGCACTGCTGGGTTCCCAAGCTAGTGGTGTTAAATGTCGTCTTCCTAGATTAGGAAAACAACATTAAAACTTTTATTTGATGTTGTTTTAATAAACACTATAACTAAAAGTATATAGCCAAGAGGACTCAGTCCCCAAATTGGATAGGATCCGCTCGAACAGTGCATCCTGATCAACACTGCTATGGTCGGGAACTCCCAGCTTATCATGGCTCACAACTGGCTTATCAAAATTCAAAATTCCAAAAACTTGATTAAACTCGTTCTGAAGCAAATAGTTGTTTTAGTAGTTTGACAATCAACTTATTTAGTGGAAAAAAGATCATTGGGCACTACACAGTACACAATTTCTGTGTTTTACGTTCATTCGACTATATAAAATAGTATATCTTTAATCTACTAATTATTGTATTCTTTAAGTTTATTGGGACCAATTTATATTCTAGGTTGAGTGTGTGGACTTCAGTACGAGGATTACTGTAACTTTTGTACAGATTCGGAAGCATCTAGCATTTACCGACATACCTATACAAGTTTTCAGGTTAGTTTATGTACGCAATTGTGCAAGTTTTCAGGTTACTTTATGTACGCAATTGTATTCAGGTTAATTTATGTACACAATTGTACGTTTTAGGTTAGTTTATTTACGCAATTTTACAAGTTTTCAGGTTAGTTTATTTACGTAATTGTTCAAGTTTTTTGGATAGTTTATCTACGCAATTGTGCAAGTTTTCAGGTTAGTTTATGTACGCAATTGTGCAAGTTTTCAGGTTACTTTATGTACGCAATTGTATTCAGGTTAATTTATGTACACAATTGTACGTTTTAGGTTAGTTTATTTACGCAATTTTACAAGTTTTCAGGTTAGTTTATTTACGTAATTGTTCAAGTTTTTTGGATAGTTTATCTACGCAATTGTGCAAGTTTTAGGCTAGTTTATGTATGCAAATGTACAAGTTTTCAGGTTAGTTTATGTACACAATTGTTTAAGCATTCTAGTATGTTATTACATATTATTATCAAAAACCTCTTCCATGAATTTATTTTTAGGGTAAAGCTGAACTGTCTACCAATGTACAAGGTCTGACCAAGAAATTACTTTAAAAATAGTTTTTTTTATAATTTTGTTATAACTAAATTTTTAATTTCAATCATTATTTAATTGATCAGTGATCGGCATTTATATCAATACACTGTCCTTTAAATCTATGATTATTATCACAGCCTAACAGGATAAAAATTTAACAATGAAGTACACACTACACATCTTATCAAGATGTGTATTTTTGATTCCATCTGTTTTTTTGTTTACATTTCATTACATCTAAAATTATTCATTTGATAGTTTATTGGAACAAGAATATTGTCTCTCTTTTATTACAGATTCTCTTTTTTCACATGATTGTATGTATGTATGTATGTATGTATGTATGTATGTATAACTAGATTCAAAACTTGTGTTATTAGTTGATTTATTTTCTTGCAAGTTTTTCTTGATTGATTGATTGATAAATTGAGGAGGACTGGGATGAGTATACTCTGGATTTTCTTGATTGATTGATTGATTGATAAATTGAGGAGAACTGGGATGAGTATACTCTGGATTTTCTTGATTGATTGATCGATAAATTGAGCAGGACTGGCATGAGTATACTTTGGATTTTCTTGATTGATTGATTGATAAATTGAGGAGGACTGGGATGAGTATACTCTGGATTTTCTTGATTGATTGATTGATAAATTGAGGAGGACTGGGATGAGTATACTCTGGATTTTCTTGATTGATTGATTGATAAATTGATCAGGACTGGGATGAGTATACTCTGGATTTTCTTCAGAACAATATAAACCAAGAGCCATTAACTGCTAAAGTTCTCAAGGTTAGTACACTAGTTACTAGTTAGTACACTAGATTTAAAATAATTTTCATATTTTAATAAAAAAAAACTAGACACAAAAAGCAGTGTAATTTCTAAATTTTCCAGGAATATTCTTAAAATCTTTAAATATCTAATGATGATTTGATATTTTCCTTTTTTTACAAAAAAAAAGTTTACAACCCACAAAAAACAGAAGCAGCTAAAGAAACAAAAATATCAATGAACTGAATTTTTAAATCCCATTTTAAAAAATACTGTTTTTTGTCAAAGTTTATTATGGAAAAAACTTTTAAATGGTGACATCATATAGAATTCCACAATTTCTGTGTTATTTCCATTTAGAGATATGACAATTGAAATCGTTTTGTTCAAAATAAAACGCCGTTGCGTTTTTTTTCTTACTGTCTATATTGGCATAAATTAAAGTTCATAAATCACATGGTCCCTCCATTTTTTCGGATCAATTTAAGAACTCCCCCTGGTTAGTATATTAGTCACAATGGACATTTTCAGAAGACTCAAAGAGCAGCGGTCAACTTGTAGACTGCTACTCTTGGAACATAGTTCAGGTTTCTATTTTTAGAGGCTCCAAAGGAATCAGAGATCTGTATAATATTACAAAATTGTACTATGGGCAAAAAAATATATACCAATAACAATAAATCAAAACATTCTAACCCAATCTTTTCTTTTCTAAAATTTGTAGCACTAATAATAATATTTATGAAGAACCAATATCAAAATATCCACTTTTTAAAGAGTGAAAAATGTGATCAAAGGAATTTTGGTCAGGAATGGATGAATCCATGGATGAAAAGAAATCAGTTGTTTCAAGTTGAAGACAACATTTTGAAAGTTCTTTCAAGATTATTAATGTAAGATAACATAGGTTTAGAATACAAACCTCTCTCCGGAATGTTGAGGGACCGTTTCATTTATTTATTTACACAATTATTTGTAAAGTAGGGGGAACAGTACCCTTGTCAATAGGGGACAGATTAGACTTTTTCTTGATTTTTTAAAAGAAAATGTTGTCTTTACAAGTCATTTGTTTAGTAATAACAACATTTATTCACATAATTAAGCATAATTGAAAGCCAATTAGCGACTTCAACTGTTTGAATTGAAGTTTTTTTAAGAAGTTATTGAATTTGTATAAGCTATTTGACAATTAAGTTTCATTTTCTCACTTAGTTTTGTAAACAAATACCTTGCATGCTGATGTACATTGTACAACACACATGTTAAAGTTATATTTATCCTATTCTTTTTATTCATTTTTTAGGCTTAGTAAAAACACTGATTCTATATTTATTTTCTTGATGACTTGATGAAATACTGGTATTTTAAAATTTGTGATAAATTACTTAAAATCACTCCAAATTACATTAATGTTAGCTTGCTTAAACTTTTTGCACAAAAAGTCTATATTTGTGTTTGATAAGTATTTCTGAATTTTTTTAACAAGAGTGTGCATATCTTGCTCAGGTCATAAGGTTTAAGGTCTATGAATTCAATCTCTAAGTTTACCTGATACTGGGATATTTTCGTTTCATACAATCTGAGTAGGTCTCAGCAACATTCTAGACGCACATATAAAATGTTTAAAGAAGATGCACAACTTTATGCATGTCGGATCCCTAGAAACCAGCGACGTCACGCGACCAGTCCCATTAGGTTGAGATAGGTCAGGTTAGGTCGGGTTATGTTAGATTACCAAATTGGTCGCAATATGACCAGTCCCCTTAGGTTGTGTTAGGTCAGGTTAGGTCAGGTTACGTCAGATTACCAAACTGGTCGAAACATGGCCAGTCTCCCAGGTTGTGTTTGGTCAGGTTGGTCAGGTTAGGTTGAGTTACCTAACTGGTCTCATACTGGTCTTAACCTGACCAATCCACTTTGGTCAGATTTGGTCGAGGTTGTAGTCACCATTCAGGCTATAATGGGAAATACACTTAAGCATAAGCATTATGTGAAATTATGTGCTAATTATGTTTTAATCATATGTATAAAGGAAAGTCTACCTATGCTTAAGGTGTAATTATGAAGAATTACATTATATTAAATCAGCTTGCTCTTAATGAGGTCAACAAATTCTCACCTTCTCCCACCTCCTTCTTCCTTCCACCTTCCCACCCTCTTTCATCCACCTTTTTTCCTCCACTGTGTTCTCTCATACCTTCTTCCCTTCACCCTTTTACCTCCACCTTCTCCCCCCTACCTTCTTCCAGCTACTCTTAAGTTTACAAAAACTAATTTGAACCTGCTCAATCTTTAGTTTTAGACTTCAGTTTGTCACTGCGAAAAAAAATTGTTGCTTACCAAGCAAGTGTCCATGCTTAAACATCTAATTGCTGAAGGTCTGATCTCCTGAGAACTGTGATACAATTAATCAGTATCAAATGTGTTAATTGTAATGAAAAAATTTGAAAAGGTCAAATCTACAGATTTCAATAAGGCATTGCATTCAGTTGTTTATAACATTTTACCAAACAAGTTGTGTTTGACACTATTCCAACTGTTGCCTCAGCATCAGGAAAAAGAAGACCTGCTGGGTTGAACTGTTCAAAGCATTTACGTTACTGTTTACTAATATCTTCTGAGATTTAGTTTCAGAAGTTGGCGGAGTCTTCTTGTTTTCAAGAGGTTTACTTTCAATGGCATCATTGACTTGTAGCTTTGAGGTTACAGAAGTCTCCATCTTGAGATTGTTGTTAATTTCCTTTAGAGACTTGGTGTGAGGTTTAGTTTCCTTCTCAAGATCAAACTGTAGCTGCTTTGGAACTCCTCCCTTCAGAGCAGTGTCCAAATGAAGACCAAAGTACAGATTCTTGTCAAATCTATCCCCAGAAGGTATTTTCTGGCAATCATTTTGAATGCATTCTGGAATGACGACATCTTCATTTCCATAATCTATAAACTGAACCTTGTATTTTGATTCATGGAAACCTGTAACCAGAGCTCTATACTAGGTTACATCTTCAGACCATTGAGCAAATACCTTATCCCCAACCTTGTAAGAATGCATCTGCTGGTTGAGAGGGGAGGTAGGAGAGCACTGGTCTGTGCTACTACCAGATACATTAGAGAATCCAAGATAAACATTCTCATCCTTCTCCTCCAACTCGGGAATACTGGAGCTATCAAGGTGTACTGAATTTAAATCAACTGTATCTGTATTTCCATAATCAATGAAGAGAACAGAAACCTTATCTGCTGACAAAGATGTTACTATAGCTCTGTACCAAGTTTGATCTTCTCCCCATTTTGAAAACACATGGTTGCCTTGTTTCTGTAGCGAGGCTTCATCTATAGGTACTCTGGAGACAGAGGTTTCAGCACTGGACAGTACTTCCGAATTCTTTGATTCTTGTGCTTCTGTTGTAGAAGAAGCATTAGGGGTTGAATCTACAGCAACACTCGTGTCTTTGGGAACCTGTTGGATTTCCAACCCAAGATTTCATCCTTTAAATCAGAGGGAGGGATGTCAGACTCCTTGTAAACAATACTGGATTTGTCAACAATATCTGCATTGTCGTAATAATAGAACAGGACTGTAACTGTATCAAGAGCAGTGGACTGGATCTGTGCTCTGTACCATGTTCTGTCCTCAGCCCATTTGGCTAGCACCAGATCTCCTTCTTTCAGATCAGCTTCCAACTGTACGAGTTCCTTAACAGAATCAATAATCTTTTTAAGTTGAGTCTCATGTGATGAAGTTACTTCTGTGGGTTGGCTTTCAATATTTTCATCCTTTAGATCAGCTGCTGGTATCTTGCACGGCGTTAGAACAATATTTGACCTCACCACGCTATCTGTGTTCCCATAGTCATAGAACATGACGGTACATGAATTTTCCTCTCTGGTCAGAATCTGTGCTCTGTACTATGTGTTGTCCTCAGTCCACTTTGCAAGAACAAATTCTGCGTGTTCAAGAATATCTTTTTGCTCAGCAGCTCCATTATCTTGGGCAGCTCCCATTGCCAGAGCTTCCTTGGCTATATGAGTCTCCTGAGAGTCGAGTTTAGGTACAGGTTTGGTTACCAGAACATGTTCATCAATAAAATCTTCCTTAGGGATTAGATCTACACATCTAACGACATGGTTTATAATTTCCTGGTTCCCATAGCTGGTGAAAAGAGCTGTGCAGGAGTTCTTCTCTATCTTCAAGAATTCAGCATTATACCAGGTTTGATCCATGTTCCAGCGCGCAATCGCATGTTCTCCAACCTGTAGATCATTTGGAATAGATGATGTTTCTGCCAGTATCTCCTCTATGGAATTAGAAAACCTAGAGAATGCTTGAGGATGAACAATTTCATCTGCTGGAACATCCTGTATACTGGTCACTATATACTTCTGCCTAATGGTCTCTTGCCCTGAGTCTGGGAACTCGACTAAGAAACATTCCTTCTTCACCTCCTCAACTATAGTTCCTGCATTCTAGGTTTTGAAGTGGACCTTGCCAGGATCTTAGTTCCAGGAAGCAGCACAGACACACCCGGAGAGCTAGTTTCACTGCTAGATGTACTCTGGGAGGTTTAAGGTCTAGCTCCTCCAGACCTATCATCTACAAGAGCAGCGCTGTGATCTACTTGATGTTTATCTTGATCAGAAGAGACAATCGCTACTGGAGAAAATATCTCGGGAAGTCCAGAGGAACTTGCTTCTTCAGGATGCTTTGTATGAACCTGAGCTGAATTATTTCCAGACATAGATAAATCCTCATTCTTTACCTCCAGGATCTCCATCTCGTGCACCACCTCCAGTCTCTTATTGAAGGACAAGGATGTGTTCAAGGTTGATGAAAGGAGTCTCTGACCAGTGTCTGATAAACCAGGATTTACCTTTGTTGTACAGGAATCTCCACTTTCAGTCGCGATTCCGCCACTGGTTGATGCTGATCCAGGATTCGCTTTGATTGGAGTAGATGTTAAGCTGTCACATTTAAGCCGAGAGAGTTGTACATGTGATGGTTGCTGTACAGTGTAGAGACTTATGGGGAGTGTACATGGACCCCCTGATATATGGTGCTCGAGCAAACACACCCGATACAGTATACAGTCCTCCTTTCTGAGGAAGAAATGAGAAGATAATCTTGGAGTGTCCATCTGCCAACATCAGACCTTTAATTTCGACTTCAGAACTCTGATCTATCCAGGTCTGACACTTGGTGGATACTTTCAACTTTTCTAGACAGGATTCATTCAGTTCCTTGCTGGTATTGCTGTTGATCCTGAGGTTGATCTGTGCCCCAACAACTGCCTCTGCCTGTTCAGTTTCCACAACAAAAACATAATCTGCAGGTTCAACTCCATTAGTTCCCAGATACCCTATATCCTGGATACCAAGTCTGCATGGCAAAGTTCAAAGAGTCGGATTCTTGACAGCCTTTATCTTCGAAACTGTCTCTTCAATCTGTAGTAGAGATTGGTAGAGTAGTTCCATAGTTCTTACATCGAGGTCTCCTTCCCTATGATATTATTGAATGATTACCTAAGAATTACTATGATATTATTGAAAAACTATCTAATGGTTACCTGAGAATTACTAAGATATTTATAAAGATTTATCTAAAGATTACCTGAGAATTACTATGATATTACTGAAGAACTATCTGAAGTGTACCTGAGAATCATTAAGTTCTCCATACACAGTTGCACATCCTCCCTACATCAAAAGAAGGCTTATTTTTAAAACTAGTTCATAAGAAGATCTTTAAAAGAAAGTCAGATATTTTGGAAGTACCTATAGCACTGGCATTCTAGATGACACAAAAGATACTAATGTATATTGTGTAATTAAATTTCATTCAGGGTTTCCAAAATGTGTCACTGTGAGTGTGTGAAACACATGCCTCCAGGCAGATTTAAACACACACACAAACTCTTTATTACATATACAATATAAATGCATATTCAATAATATTGGCCATGAAATCAGTTAATCAAAAATATATTTAAAAGAAAATAATCTACTGTTTTATTTGCCATGTTTGATCTTAATGACGATAATGGTAGGTAGACTGGAAAAGAGTGAAGATTCTTCAACCCTCTCAATAAATAATTGAACGAAAACAATCATTTTGGGTTAGATCCTGGTCTGGTCGAATGTTAGTAAACTCAATTTGTATGTTTATAAATTGTTACAATTATGCTATACTAGGCTTTTAGGACGCTTCCCGCCCATCTTCTATTTAAATTGTGAACATGTTCTTTTTGTTTACATTTTAAAACAAAGAAGAAAAAAATTATGCGGATTTACAAAAAAAAATTTGCAGATTTTCAAAAATTTAAATTTTTTTACAAAATTAAAAGCTTTCAAAACACATTTTTTTTTATCATTCATAAACCTTCCCTGTGGTCATGTGATGTCCCACAAAAAATTTGGGCTCGATCGGTTCAGCCATTTTGACGTTTATTGGATAGAAACAGATAGACAAGTCAAATTTATAAATAGATTGCAAGTACAGTTCCCATAATTTTCTTACCGTATCTTTGTGTTCATTTGGCCATATCATATTCTTGGCAATTAAAAAAAATATCTCGACACTTCTGGTAAATTTAAGGAAACGCTGTCTCATGCAGTAATTCAACCTTTTTCATTTATATTTAAATTCGTCTTGTATGTCTGATTGTTTGTATTCAAATTTGTTTTGGCAACTCACATAACCCCAGGGACAATCCATTAATTTAAACAGAAACATTTTGTTTGTCTTGGTTAGAGCTTAGTTTAACAATCAAGTCTTCTTTAATGCAGTTTTTATCTAGATACATTTAATAAATAATTTTATAACAGTTTGGTTAATTATGTTTATGGTTGTCTAGAGACCAAGTTTAAAAAATTTGAGTGGCAGCTTAAATATAAGCCACAGCTTAAATATAGTTGGTTTCTTTTAAAATTGTATTCAATGTTTCAAGATTTAAGCCAGTGCTCAATTGAAACCTGTTTGTGGCAGATTTAAGAGGCAGCTCAAATTCATTAAATTCGGGCATAGGGCATATATTAAAATGGACAACAGGGGTATATATTTTTCAGAACTATCCCCCTCCCTCCTGGGGCCCCATGGGTGGGAATGATTTTGAGGGAAACAATGAAAAATGGGAATCAAAAGGCAAGTTTTTTCATACTTTTTACCCAAAAATGTATTTATTTTTCCCAATTCAGCAAATAAAACCCTAAAAATTTCTGCTAAAACAAAAATGATTTTTTGAGAAAACATACACCCCTGATGACCAGTTGAAGAGCATTATAAAAAATGTTTTATAATTTACCTCCTAAGTAATCATCGCTCCAGTAGTCCTGGCTTCTGCAGTTAACTTGTGAGCTCCAGTTTATAAGAAAGAAAAGAACAAAGAGCAACATTACTCAAAACTGTTAGATTCGTGAATTTATGAATATTCACAAAGAATCTCCATTTTAATCTTTGATAAAATTAAATTATATGCTTAAATAATTTATTTGAACATGAAATTACTGTACTGAGCTGGTAACTTAATCCTGATCGCTTAATCTGAATATCTAATGTGGACACTTTTAATCTTTTTAAATATCCCTACTATAATCCGACAAAAGAGAGTTCTGTCAACAAAGGGCAGACAAAAATTTCAAATTTCCTGGCTTTTGATTGGCTGTTCAGGATTCTGCCTACACCACTCGATTAGTTGAATTTGATTCTCTCTTCTGGACACAAACTAAAGATTAGATTAATCTTAAGAATAATGAAGATCTCCTCCTTGATCTAAATATCCACGATTCTAATGTTTTCAGCTTTGAGACGAGATATTAAAAGCTTAATTGTATTCCTAATTAAAATTTAACAACTGACATGGATGAACATGATATATGATCATTTACATGTATTTTAAATATTATAAGCAAGCATTTTTATCAAATTTATAAAAAGATAAAAAGATTTATAATTAAAAACTAATTCAAATATTGTCAAAAACTGATTTGTATAATGCATTGCAAATCTTAAAGACTCTTATATATTAGGTCTAGGAAAATAAGGGGGGGGTCAGGCGCGCAACTAGAGGGGGGGGCAAGGCCCCCCCTAGCCTGATTAAGGGGAGGCCTGTAGGGGGGGGGGGGGGCAAGAGCTAAGAAGTTCACCCCTGTTTTGATACTTAGCGATTCATGATTCCTGACACTGAGAAAATTTTAGAGCTCTGATCGAAAAAAAAAAAAAATTGAACGTTATTTTCTTGAGCTTATAGTTCAATCGATATACTGTAGTACACTATTAAATTAATCCTAATTTTTTCTAAAAAAAAATATTTTTCATGCAAAATCATGATTTTTTAATGAATTAGGCGTTTTTTTCAGTGTCTGGGTATTATGTACATATTTGATTTCTGGATGAATAATGAATATATATGTATATATGTTAATTGTAAATCAATTAATATTGTGATTTACATTAACAAGAATAGATTTCTTTTTTATTTCATATCAGATAACACATCTGACTTACTAAATATCCGGTTGGTAAGGTTAGTTTTTTTTATTGTTTGTGTATAATACACATTTTTCTTGCTCCGCCCCCCCCCCTAGAAATATTTAGGTTGGGGGGCGGCAAAAAAAATTTGCTCTTGTCCCTTTTAACAAAATGTCCAGAAATATTTGATTTTGACAATTTTTTATTTTAATTATTTTATTTGTACTATAAAATAGCTTGTGTGTAATATCTCATGCTTGCATAATTTAAAATAATATATAATACTAGAAATTCAAGGCGCTTCGCGCCCTTCTTTCTAGCCTTAGAGGGCGCTTCGCGCCCATCTTCTAAATTAATTGTGAACATGTTCTCTTTGTGTACATCGTAAAACAAAACAAAAATAATTTGCGGATTTTCACCGAAAAATTCGTGGATTTTCAACATTTTAAAAAATTTAATGACGATCGAATTTTGATGGAGACAAATATTTGAAATTTTGATCATTCATAAACCTTCCCTGGGGTCCCTAGATGTCCCACAAAAAATTTGGGCCCGATCGGTTCAGCCGTTTTGACGTTTATTGGATACAAACAGACAGACAGACAGACAAGCCAAATTTATATATAGATGATTTCTATTATGTCAGTTTATACATTTTGCACACTAATACATCTGGCAATTTTTAAAACAATTAAGAAAATTTCATAGTCTTGCGGAGCCTCTGATAAAGTAAAATAAACCTTGAGTGCTTTTATATGAATGAAAAATCGATGAAATTTAAATAATTATCATTAAACTTGTGAAATAAGATCGGGAAAAAATTATTTCCGTCAGATTTTCTCCGGACAACGATTTTTTGTTTTCTCAAAAGCTTATAAAAACCTATTTTTCCAAAGTTTTTTCACACGCATTTTGATTAAAAGTGGTTGTGAACGTAATGTCAAGTTACCCTCCATGCAAAGATGACAATGCCCGATTCACAACAGTTCCCTTAAAAGCTCTGTCTAAATCAATTAAGAACTATAGATATCAATGAATATAATTTTAAAAACTAATTAGTTTTTTATTTAGCTCTCTTAAATAGGAATTAACTTTTATACTTAGAAAAAAGCCAATATCTTCCACATCATGATCCGTTTAAGCTTTCAAGGGTTTTGATGTGTCGCTTCAAATCATGTATTCAGTCTTTTTTACGTGTTAAATTATTGTTTTAGGCTGGAGACGATAAATCTGATCCAATAGTGTCCATTCGACTCCCCTCCTCCAGGGATGCTGCTTCTCTACTAGGTTAGAAATTATAAACAGTTTAACCCATAAATTCCAAGACACCGAAAACAAATTTTAAAATGTTGTTTTTTAATCCTACTGTTAATCCTATTGTTAATCCTACTGTTAATCCTACTGTTAATCCTACTGTTAATCCTACTGTTAATCCTACTGTTAATCCTACTGTTAATCCTACTGTTAATCCTACTGTTAATGCTGCAGATATTTAGTTTTAAATCATCACTGCCAACCAAAAATCTTGTAGTATTTTGCCAATTACTCATTTTAAACTGTAAAAAAAGCGAATTGCAATTTTAAAATGTATATGTCTAGGGCTAAAAATGTATAATTGAGTTGGTAAAACCAAATTGGTCAATGCGTCGCGACACTTTAAATTTGAGAATGAGAAGTTTTATGTAGAACTTTCAGAGTTGTCTAGATTTCAGTGATATGAAGCTCTGTTTCCGGCTTCCGCTGTTTCATGGCTATTTATTTATTTATTTTTACAATTACTGAGCTTTAGATATAATAGTATAAACCCATTGAAAAATTGTTAAGACGACATTTTATAAATTCTTTCGGTGTCTTCGATGTGCAGGGTTAAACTGTACTAGCGAGAAGATTGGGGAAGACGACTTTAAGACTCTAGACATAATTTTAGATATTCAAATGAACCTAAGCCAACGAGGTTATAGTGTATAGAGTGATGATGTACGCTAATCCTTTACTAATTTTATAGGCCATAAACTATACCGATAGTGTACTGCATATTTGTTTATTGTAAGTCGATTCCGGCCTAACCTATAGTATATCAATATTAGTAAACAGTTGTAAGTGTACAGTACAGCTAACTGAGGTAGATCATCCCCCCCTGACCGAAGTCAATCAGACCTTATAATTGATTTTAATGTGTGAAATAAAACTGTTTGATTTGTAAGAAAATGCACTTTATTATTTGCTTTATTATTATTTTCTTTCTAATTTAAGTTTTTTGCTTTAAACTGTACAACGAAGAAAGAGGCTACTCACTTTCAGTCGCAATTCCGCCACGGTTGATGCTGATCCAGGATTCGCTTTGATTGGAGTAGATGTTAAGCTGTCACATTTAAGCCGAGAGAGTTGTACATGTGATGGTTGCTGTACAGTGTAGAGACTTANTAGGTCTGCTGAAATGTTTTTCTATGTTAATTTGAATATTTAAAATCATACTTTTAGTCTCAACAGTCTTCCTTCTTTTCTACAATGATATAGGTCTCACTATTAGAAGAAATTATTCTAAAAAGTACTAATTCCAGCTTAATTTTGGTTGTAATTATTAATGTAATAAAGCAAACAGTTTTACCAGTTTTATAGAAATCAACTTATTACGTAAAAACGGTAAAATAGGTCTATTTACATGGTACAATAAACACTGCACAATTTGGATTTATTAGTCGTCTGCCTATACCACAGGTTTATTGGGTTCACTAGAAGAGAACATTGTTTTCTAAAAAGAACTAATTCTAAATATTATTTAGTTGAATGTGGGCTGGCAAGAAAGATGGTGATATAGAAATTGTCTCAGCTCAACTTGAAGGATTACAATTTTCTAGTTCGAATATCCTTTAAATCCAGTTTTAATCGGTTTTGAATTGATTTGAAAAAAAATCACTAAAATTTTCAGTACAAATTGTTCTGTTGAATCAAGGATTCATTTATTTTAAAAAAATGATTTGTTCTGAATCCATTAAAGAACAAAGTCATGTAATGGTTTTATTCACATTTGTTTCGTAAGTTTATTGTTCCTAAAATTCGGAACCAAATCTTTGTACTTTTTTATTATTTTTTTAATAAATATTGTTGTTTTTTTCATTTTTTATTGTTCATGAGGTTGTGAGAATATTTCTTGAATTCACCAAACCTCTCAAAGTTGACTAAATTCTGGTTAATTGAAATACGAAAGAAAGCAGCTCTAAGCTGTATTTCTTATTTCTCCGGTAATTTTTGTACTGTAAATAATGAATGAGATATTCTAGTTTTTGGATGTGAAAATTGATTATTTAAGATTGTGGTTGCTCTGTAAGAGGGACTTTTTAGCAGTTAAGACGACGGATCTAAATCATCTGAATTAAACACTTTTAAGACAAAATTTATTTAATAAAGGTTTAAAGGGTACGTTGATTAATCAGACATGCCACTCTATAAATATAAAGTCTTGAAGTTATGTGCACAGTCCCTTTCAGTTTTATTTTTTATCTTAGTCGTCGAAAGTGCTGAATTTTTAGTTGTATTCTGTATTCTACAGTATAATCCTATATCTTGTATTCTACAGTATAATCCTATATCTTGTATTCTACAGTATAATCCTATATCTTGTATTCTACAGTATAATCCTATATCTTGTATTCTACAGTATAATCCTATATCTTGTATTCTACAGTATAATCCT